AAGAGAAAGCTGACTAATCTAATGTATCTTACCACTGTATCAAAAATCATCAGCAGTTGTGAAAAAAAAAAAAACTATGGTAACATAGTCAGAAACTAAATAAATGTTTCTAGTATAGACCCCAAAACCACTATGCTAAAGTTGCAAATTATTAAACATCTGTCCATTGCCCCTTTTCCCTGCCATCTTTAGGAAAATATTTTTTATTTTAAAGAAAAAAGAGTAAAAACAAAATAAAAACAAAGACAAAAATAAAACAACACAAAAACTATAATAAGGATAAAGAATTTCAAAACAAGATGATAGGAAATCAACAGGTTTTACCTGGGTTGTTGTATTGCTTACTGTTATCTTCAAAGTAGTTGCTCAGATTTCCAGATATAAGTATGCAAGATTGATTAAACAACTAAACATTACCTGTTTCTTTCAATAAACCAACAGAAATTACTAGCACAATTATCTTAGCTACCTTGTGTGTATATACATATTTTTTTCTTTCCTTCTTACTTTTTTCTCCTTTCCCTCATCCCAGTTGTTCTTTCCTATTGAGCAGTTTCTTTGCTTTTCACAACATCTATTGTACCTTTTAGATTTTATTCACTCCTTCAGGTTCTTACACTAGGGAGACAATATGATGTTTACACATGCTGATATATTTCACTTATGAGTATGGTCTCTAGTTGCATCCATTTACCTATAAAAGCCTCAATAGAAAGATATTTCTCTGAACTGAAATTAATTATGAAATGTCCTTAACTGAAAAAGCAATACTATTCAGCCTATTCTTGTGTGTTTAGCTGTAACTATATTCTGGCCTCAGCTATCAGAGGCCTTATTCTTTCTCTACCATTTATGAATGTATCCTTATGAATTATTCTGTGTCACAGCCATGAGACTCTGACCAGAAGGTCCACTGGAGAGAAACAAGTATGGTCATGCAGATCAAAAGGCACAGCTCTCCCTCAGTCAACCCTAAGGCTATAAGAATAGAGCTTCAGCACCTAACAGTTAATAACAAAAGGAAGACCTCTGTGAATATGAATTCATCTATGGATGTGGGAAAGGTGTGAAAGTTGTATAGGGCTAATCTTCAGAGAAGAGGGCAGAGGAAAGGGAAATATGGTAAGGAACAAGTTTAGAGAAAAGACACTTGGATGTGTTCTTTCATGTTTCCAAGCTTTTGGTTCTTCTTAAATTCAAGGCTTTACCTGGGATTTGAATTTCATCATGTCCACAGATTTTGATATATATTCTTTCCCGTTTGTTATTTTCTGCCTAGCCTTTTATGTCTTGCTTCCTACTGCAATAAGTTTTAAGAGCGACTCCACTGATTCCCAAGTACTTAGGCATCTTAAATGTTTTATTAATAATTTACATTATATTATAAAGAGGCGTACAATTTGCACTTTGTTAACCTTACTGGAATTGCCATGCCACAGAAATCCAAAACAAGGATGAATTTGTGATTCAGAGCCACTTGTAGACTAGGTATATTCCTTCAATTTCAGAAATCAAATTCAATATAGCCTAGTCCATCCTATAATGTTAATCATATTTCTCAGCTTTTCTAGCCCTTCATTTGCATGTTTTCCATGTCAATGGACCATCTCCCCAACACTTCCTATTTCTGTAGAAAGCCAGTATCACCTCTTCCCTCCCTGAGCCTCTCCCTTTCCAGTTCCCTGGAGTGGGGCAAGGGGTAGGGGCTGAAGATGGGCCAAGAAAACTTGGTGAGCAGAACAATTCTATTTATTTTCCTCCATATCCTACCTCAAGCCTCAGTCTTAACATCATATGGACTTGTGAATTCATTATTCAGACTACAACTAGCATCCCTGGGAATAAAAATTAAACTTTCATTACTGTCTGTGTGTCCTTTACTCAGAATTCTGATGGCTTACATCACTTATGAAATATTAATGAGAAGTGCTGGTTTTTAATCTGGAAAGATTCTTCTGTTACGTTCATGAACTGTTCTATGCAATTCAAAAGCTCTGTGACAAAAACAGAATTTGCTCTTGTACTTGTTCTTTTGTAGCCAAATCACATCTTCCATGAGCAATGTGTGTGTTTTTAGAGGTAGGAACTTTAGTTGAGAGAGATACACAAATCTAAGAAATAGCATATAACTATAGGCTTCTTATTTCAAAAAGAAAAAAAGATATGCAATACAGGCTTTGGACAATACCAAGTCTATTACCTTTTACAGTCAAATTTTATCCTCAGATGAGCACACATGGAGCTCTTTTACTGTGGAAAAGTAATTCTTTCAAAATAGCATAAAATGTTAAAGATTTACACGAGGCAATCGCGTATATCTTAATCTTTATCTAAAGGCCGTATTAGCATGGGAACAAAACGTCTCGGACTATATGATGAGATGATCCAGGAGTCTTAAGAGTGCCTCTATTCTCCCTCAAAAGAATATTCCTTGTCATTCTTTCATATCTCTCTGGAATTCCCTCGGTTCTTCATTCTTTCTCAAACTGTGGGTAGTCTGCTTTCTCTCATAAATGGAGCCAGTAAATGATAAAGTCATCTAAACCATCCAAGTATCTAATGCCAATGGCACGATAGTATCTAAAATGCCACCTTCTATTTTTTTTGCTTAAACATTTCAATTTTAAGTGCAGCTTTTAAAATTGAAACCACTATTTTGAAGAATAATATATGTCATATTAATATCATTTAAATTTGATTCCTGCATCACTTTCTTCCTCAGCCATTGTCTGAAGAGCATCAAGAGAAGTAGATATATTTTTAAAATGAGTTTAGTTCCTTTTTCCCAATGGATGGAGATGATTTAATGATAAAATCTTTGACCTAAGTCAATATATTTATGTAAAATCTTGTATAGACACATTGAAATACTATTTTGACAATAACTAGACTTAGATAATTGTTGGATTCCATTTTCTTCCTTATAAAACTGAGGGCTTAGATTAGACACTCTTATGCTATATCTAAAGCCCATGCTAGTGCTTAAATTCTATAAATTGATTAGTTGTATTCCTTTAGGTTAGTCAAAGATATCATAGAAAAGTATAATCAGCTGTTCAAATCACTCTGCATGGCCTGTCCTTCTGAATAAGAGTTCTTTTATTTCTTCCACAAACAACTCAAATTTAGTCAGAACTTTGTGGGTAGTTGTGAACATCAGAATAAAGATATGTTTATGGCTAGCCATCAAAGAACTTCTGGCTTCCTGAGCTGAAAGTTCAAGGCGAGAGTTGAGGATTTGGGCTAGGACAGCCTTGTATTTATATAATGTTTCTAACGTTCAAGCTTCTTTTGTTATTCTTTTCCTTGATTTTACCCTCATAAAGGTAACAAGAATAAGTAGAGTGTCTTACTGAAGTAGGACCTGAAGCACCGGGATAAAGAACTGTCTAAGGTTCTATAATCATCTAATGATAGAACTAAAATAATTTAAATGAGTTAACTCCAATTCCATTCTGCCTACAAAACAGTCTTTCCTTCCAGTTCACAAAACTCAGTCTTTGCATGCCAGTTTTATAATCTCTTTCCCCAATATCTTTTCAGAACAATACAGAGGAGTTCATGCAATGCCTTGTACAAAGTCAATGAGAGTGCTCTGCAAAGCCAGAGAGGAGCGACCATTCCAGGCGCTTTGGCCGCTCCTCAGAGGCATTAGAACCACTGCTGAGAAACAAATGGAAAGGTACCCAGATTTCCATGAATATTAGAATTTCTCACCCATCTGAGAAAACCATTGTGCCTGGCTTCATATTCAGTCTTATAAGCAGAGAGCGAGGTATGGAACTGGGAAATCTATGAGAATATTTTCCATAGGGAAGACACCTCCTAGAGTCAAATTTGCCCTACTGCATTTCTGTTCTTATCAGAGATCGGTACAGCTGGAACTTATAAATTCAAATCACTATCTCATCATTTTCCAGACATGTAACAGCAGGTAAACAGCTCAATACATCTCTGGGTTCTGGTTTTCTGAGGTTAAAGTAGAAATTATAACATATAAGATTATCCTAGATAAGCTATGAAATCTTAATCCTATTAGTAAATAAATCCTAGTAACTTTATTTATTTGCATCTACCTTACAGATGAGAGTTCAGTTTAATAGTCTGTACTGTGCTGGAGTGCTTTAATGAGTTTCTAGTCTCAACTGTCCTTTTGTTTTTATTTTAAAGAGAATAAAAATAAAAAACAAAAATGATACAGAATTTCAAAATAAGATGATAGTAAATTAACAATGGTTGTTATATTGCATATTGTTATCTTCAAAGTAGTTGTTCAGATTACCAGATATAGGCATGCAAGATTGTTCAAAAAAATTAAGCATTAACAATAAACCAATAGAAATTAGCAGTACAATTATCTTAGCTTTCTTGTTTATATATATTTTCCCCTTCCTTCTTTCTTTTTTTTCTCCTTTCCCTCATCCCAGTTGTTCTTTCCTTTTCAGTAGTTTCTTTCCCTTTCACAATATCTATTGCACCTTTAGGATTTTACTTACTTTTTTAGTTTCTTACACTGGGGAGACAATATGATGTCTACACATGTGGGTCTGATTTATTTCACTTATGAGTATGTTCTCTAGTTGCATCCATTTACCTATGAAAACCTCCAGTTTACTTTTCTTTATATCTGAGTAATACTCCATTGTATAAAAATACATCTTTTTTTATCCATTCCTCAGCTGATGGGCATTGATAGCAGCACCATTTGTTAGCTCTCCTTTTGTCTTATGCTGATTCCCTTACCGGTATCCTACTTTACCACCTACTCTCCAGAACAGTTGTTCTTACACTGTAGCCTGTCTCAGAATGATGTGGTGGCCTCCTATCCCAGAGGTGCTGATTGGGTGGGTCTGGAATAGGATATAAAATGGCATTTCTAACATGATCTCTGGGGATCTGGATGCTGCAAGCCTGATGATCCTTTGAAGACCCTTGTTCAACCTACAGCATATAAAAAGGTTTGAGGAACATTATCTAAGAGAATGAAGGAACAAATTTACCTCAATGTAACTGTGGGAGCAGCCACTCTGGCCTTCCAGTTCCACGTGGGTGAAGTTGAGGTCTATTAGCTCTCCCTGAGGCTGTTCTATGATATAGATGCATTGCCTGCTGTGAGCCAAAGGCCCAGGCAAGCTGGGAAGAAGGAGCTCACCCTCTGGCTCTGTGTAGTTCCCGCCACAATGCAGATCCGCTATAGAGGAAAGGGAAGAAAAGAGAAAAGGAAAGAACATGTGACCCAGCTTCAGAAATTTGCACATGTGTGCATGCACGCACACACACATTAACACACACATTAACTGTGTGTTAATCTATCATTTAACAAACAGTTAAACACCTACTTTATTAACCCTATACAGGGTTATGCCTCTATTGTAAGGTTTCCCATGTGATATATTTGCACTCTGTCCCTGGAGTATCCGAAGTAATAGCAATGTGTGATCAGACTTTACTGCACCACTCTCTTTTACAAATTGTTTTTTAAATACATTAATGCTCTGCTTCATTTGAGAAAGACTTAAGGGATTTTTTGAAATAATGTAAAGAACAAGATATATATTACTACACATGTGAATCAGATTAAAGAAAAAATAAACACAGAATAGCAACATGTGGCCAAAGTAAGACTGATGAGCATAAACAGTAGTTATAAGGGCCACAAGAACTAGAGGAGGTCAGCTGCAGATTCAACCTGATGTCAGAGTAAAAGGACAAGGGACCAATGACGATGTGCACATTGAAGACATGAAGATGTGCAAATTATTGCTTTTCCTGATACTGAGCCTTAACAGCTATTTCTCCTATAAATTTTTGTTATGAACACAATGATAGATGTGATGAACAAAATTCTGTCCATCCCTAAAATGAAAGTTATAGAGTATTTCATTTGTTTTGTTGTTTGTTTTAAGATATCCATGTTAGTTGAACACATGATAGCTAATAGCATTCCACTGAAAGTGAAAGTCTAGGGGCCAGGACCCTGCAATACTAGAAACCAGCTCCCACACGGATGAACTTGAGCCAAAGACAACATCAGACACATCTCTAGACAGACTGCATTGCTCACGTGAATAACCTATCACACAACAAAACATCAAACTCTGAGGTTATGAATTATTTAATTTTAGGTGTCTCATACATTTCCACCATAATGTGAATCCCATAATTTAGGAACCAAGGGGTACTGCTGTATTAATAATAAAACACTAAGAAGGTAAAGAATCTGAAGCTGTGGAAGAAATATTTGCAAAAGCATGTTATTAGTCTAAGAGAATGGGTCTCCTTCAGCACCACTTAAAATACAAAGCAGCTATAAGTATAGCACCGTCCTTCAACCACATATTAAGCTACAGACTGGCAAGGTACTTACAAGGTGATGTTAGGTAGGTAATATGGAAGCCACGGTCACTGATCTGGTTGTCAGAATGAAAATGAATCCTGGCAAAGGGACCTGTCATCTGTAGCGGTGGGACAGAGCGAGTGGTGCAGAATTTCTCAAGAATGGGGTCCTGATGCAGAGGACCATCTCGAATCTAAAACAGAAGAGAGAATGATCAGTGCAAGGGAGGTCAGGTTTTCACAAAGCAGGGCATTTTAGGCATTAACTTCAGAAAAATCTATCATTTATGATGGCTGTAGGGAGTCTCCTCATCACATACATAGTTAGCACACATTTGGGGTTCAGGAAAGAGTGTCTTCCCATCAGCCCAAATGCTTTATCTTCCATCTGAATTTCAATTCTGAGGCCCAACATATTCTTGGATTTCTCTCCTGAGTTACTAATCTGAGTGTTTTTTTAATACATTCCCCCTTCTCTCATATATTCACTTTAAAATGATAGACTCCTAGTGATCTAGAGAAAGAAAGTGAATATAAGAAAGGAAGATACAAGAAGGAATACTATTGATGTCAACTGACTCACAATGTGGTTTAGGTATTCAGGAGGCATGCATGCAGGAATGAAGAGCTGTCATATTAGACACAGCATAAGTGATGGCTTGATGAATGTAATGAATTTAAAAGTACAACTTAAAGCGGTTGTGGGGTCCCAATGC